AGGGCTGGGGATGCGCCGCCCCATGGCGCTCCCAGACCCATGCCCCCCCCTCCCTAGCGGCCGCCACATGGCGGTGAATCCGTGCATACGCGCGGACGCATCCGCGAGGCTGCGGAGTAGTCTGCGGACTCGTCCGCGTCCGCGCGCGTCCGCCGCCCGCGGGGATTCGTAGGTACTGACTCGGTTTGGTAGCCTTGGTACCGCCGGAATAGACGGGGCTAGTCTTTATTCCAGGCCAAGGTGGTGCGACACGCAGGTGGATTCTGCGGTACTTGTGCTGCGACCTTCACGCACAGGTATAGGCCACGAGTGGAACTGAGGAGGGGACTTTTTTTCAGCTAGCGAGCCAGGTGTACGTCGCAGTCGAGCTACGTTGACCTGCGGCATGACCATAGGGCACTAAGGCGTTCTGAAGGAAGATGCTGGGAAGGCGAGCTATGTGTGTCCAGCTCGCGCAGTATACGATTTTGAAGACAGCGCAAGGGTGGCGTGTAAAACATGTTCGCAACGTGTTAGCTATGATGCAGGGAGGGAAGCTATGGGGATCGTACTAAGGAGGAGCGTATCCCACACGCGCCGCTCAAACGCATTTACCGCCAATGAGCTGAGAGCGGGATAGCGAAGTGGCGTGAGCAGTTGGCATGCAAGAAAGATAGGGGGAGAGCAACACGTGCCTGGTGCACACAGCAGGAGGCGTAGTGAGGCTAAGGGAGTCTGCGCGAATGTGCGAGGGAGAGGAAGTGGACACGGGAGCCGCGCCTAGTAGTGAGAGAGATAAACTTGATGGTCATGAACAGGGCAGTACTTCAAGGCTTCTAGTTTTGTTCACCCAGGTCGCTTTCCTTGCACGGCGTGAGTTGCAACAGATGTTGACTACTACCGGGAAACGGCTGGTCAGATACAAGTCGACTCAGCCACAGTGAGAGGCCAGCTCCGAACCCTGCGGGGGGAAGTCAACCCGACTGGTGTGAAGCCGATCACATATTACTCGAGAGAACGGTGCAGAAGCTATCGATCATTGATTTACCTTAGTACCCTTCATCATCAGTGCTAGTGAAAAGCTACGGTCTGACGAAGAAGGCCTTCACTTCGAGGGACCGTGCCGCCATGCAAAGAAGCGGCGAATCACGTTCTGCGCGCGCCAGGTAATTATTGTTTACCCTTCATCATTAGTGCTAGAGAATAGCTATGGTCTAATGAAGAAGGCCTTCGCTCCGAGGGACCGTGCTGCCGTGCAGAGATACAGCGAATAATGTTCCGTATCGACCAACTTGACTCATTTCTGTTATTTTAGGTAGTTTTAACTTTCATCTTTGCTCCGTGGGACGAGTGTCAACTTATGCGGAGGTTTGAGTCAGCCGAACTGAGCAAGTAACTAAGCAACATTCAAAGGTTGAGGCAGCCATTCCTCATCTCCCCTATCAAGCGTAGAAAAGAGAGAGAGAGGAAAGGAACGGGATCGTGGAAGACGGCGAGAGTGGAAGAAAGAAACGGAGAATAGACTGAGGGGAAGAAAGAAAGGGAGAATAGACTGAGGCGAAGAAAGAAAAGGAGTATAGACTGAGGGAAAGAAAGAGAGGGAGAAGAGACTGAGCGAGGCAGCGAGCGCAATTGGGCGAGTGACCTCGTACACACAGAAAGGGCACAGAGGCTTTGACCCCCCCCTTCAAAATCTATGAGACCTGGAAAGGAGAAAAGAGCTGCTCTGTCTGGTCTAGTCTGAAAAAACCACTAATTGTCCTCCTCGGAAGAGGAGTTTGTCATTACGCCTATCTGCTCCTTGAGGGTCGGGGGTCGGGGTCTTCTGGTAGAGTGGTTATCAGTGCTCTGTGTAATCCAAAGCTCGTACCTCAAGACAGAGGCATTATTCCTGTCTTTGTGAATTGTAAGTGCTTTGTCTAATCAAGCTTGTACCTCATGAAAGAGGCATAATTGCAGTCTTTGTGAATGGTTGTCAGTGCTCTATCTAATCCAAAGCTCGTACCTCAAGGTAGAGGCATTATTGCAGTCTTTGTGAACTGTAAGTGCTCTGTGTAATCAAGCTCATACCTCAAGTTAGAGGGATTAGTGTAGTCATTGTGAATGGTTGTCAGCGCTCCGTCTAATCAAGAGCTCGTACCTCAAGCAAGCGGCGTTACTGTAGTCTTTATGATTGGTAGACAAAACTTGAGCGAATCAAGAGATCGCCCCAGGAGAAAGGGCAATAACGTGGCCTTTGTGATTGGATATTAGTGCACGATCAAATCAGTAAGCTTGAACCGTACGACACGAAGGGGGGGGGACCATCGGCTGTGTATTTGATTGCAACGGACCTATGAAATTATCTGCAGTCCGGACCTATAATCGTATCTCGTCGGCATTATTGCAGTCTGGTTTGATTGCGTAGACGATTATAGGTCCGGACTGCGGATACGATTACAGGTGCAGACCTATAATTGTATCTCGTCGACATTATTGCAGTCGCGCGGCTCGTCAGACATTAATCACTAGTTCACGACAGCTCTCAGAATTGCAACGAGTTTCCCGGTCACATCTCGTATCTCGTGCTCACCCTCGATGCCCAGGATTCCCAAATCTGTGTATTTGATTGCAACGGACCTATGAAATTATCCGCAGTCCGGACCTGTCATCGTATCTCGTCGGCGTTATTGCAGTCTGGTTTAATTGTGTAGACGATTATAGGTCCAGACTGCGGATACGATTATAGGTCCGGACCTATAATCGTCTCTCGTCGGCGTTATTGCAGTCTAGTTTGACTATGAAATTATAGGTCCGGACCTATAATCGTATCTCGTCGGCGTTATTGCTGTCGCGCGGCTCGTCAGACATTAATCACTAGTTCACGACAGCTCTCAGAATTGCAACGAGTTTCCCGGTCACATCTTGTATCTCGTGCTCACCCTCAATGCCCAGGATTCCCAAATCTGTGTATTTAATTGCAACGGACCTATGAAATTATCCGAAGTCCGGACCTATAATCGTATCTCGTTGGCGTTATTGCAGTCTGGTTTGATTGCGTAGACGATTATAGGTCCGGACTGCGGATAGGATTATAGGTCCGGGGTGCGGATACGATTATAGGTCCAGACTGCAATAACGCCGACTGTTATTGCAGTCGGCTGTGTATTTGATTGCAACGGACTTATGAAATTATCCGTTGTCCGGAACTACAATTGTATCTTGTCGGCGTTATTGCAATCTGGTTTGATTGCGTAGACGATTATAGGTCCGGACTGCAGATACGATTATAGGTCCGGACCTATAATCGTATCTCGTCGGCGTTATTGCAATTGCGAGGCTCGTCGGACGTTAATCACTAGTTCACGACAACTCTCAAAATTGTAACGAGTTTCCCGGTCACATCTTGTATCTCGTGCTCACCCTCAATGCCCAGGATTCCCAAATCTTTGCCAAATACGATTATAGGTCCGGACTGCGGATAATTTAATAGGTCCAGGCTGCGGATAATTCCATAGGTCAGGGTTGTTGCGTAGGCGGCTGGATTGAGCCGGCGTATGGAGCCGGACACGATGGGGACGCACCCGAACATGGGACCCCAGACGAGCACGTATCGGGCTTCGCCAGACAGGGCCTTACACAAGCTAAGGAGCGCATTGGACCTCTTACGTGTGTGCCGCTAGACGACGGCGAGCCCAAGGTGATGGACGGGCCGATCGTTACAGAGCCTGATAGACCATTAGACAGGCCACAGTCGGTGGCGCGGGTGGAGACAAGGACAAAGCACTCGAGTTATTGGAGAGACTCCCAGCCTTCCCCTACGTACAATCGGAGAGTCTCTAGAGGGGATAGATGCCGAGATGATTGGCTTGAGCCACAAGGTCGTGAGTCAGCCTAGAGGGATAGAGATAGGCCTCCGGAGAGGAGTACGCCACCACAACGGGTCTTTGACCCTCAGACGGATGATAGGCATACTCTTCCATACGGGAGAGGAGATCGTTACATCATATCTCACCCGCCAACAGCATTGGACACCCGACCTCCCGTCTTTAAGGGGTACAGTATCACCGAATACCTCGAGAAGTGGGAACTTCACATGTATCGCAACCAATGGACGGAAGATAAAATTATCGATAACTTCTTGTTCAATTCTGATCCAAGCTTGAGCCAGGAGATCAAGGAAGCTAGCCCTGCCGACAGGAAGTGGGCTACCTACAAGAAAAATTTGTACGAACTCTTCAAGTTAGAGGATAGTCGATATTCGATCAGAGATCTGGAGTCGATGACTCAAGGTGAGGACGAGAGTGTATGAGCTTTCGGAAAACGATTTCAGAAAGTGTCAGACGCTTTGATTGCAAAGGGAAAGTTGTCCGAAGTCGAACGATGTATGATCTTCATCACACGATTGCCCAAAGAGAAACAGAAGGGGATACTTCGCGAGCTTCCCATGACAATCTGGAATTCTCGATTGTACTTAAGCTGACAATGAAGGTCAAGGTAAACGATTACAAGGATTTGGTCTGGAGGGGGTTGAGACAAAGAGATTTCTCTCTCTACAGAGACTATGACACTGATCGATGCTCTGATTTCCGCGAATAACCGTGGGCGGACCGTCGATACCTGTTCGACAAGGACAGACCTCGTCGGTCTCGTGATAGAGATACAATAATGGATGAAATGGGGAGATGATGAGGGGACTAGCTAGAGGGATGACGAGCGCGGAGATGAGGGCACCAAGTTACAGAGACAAGCCTGGATCCCCATACTCGTTACGATGGGATCGCAGGAATTCTGATCCCTGGAGGAGTGTAGGGGATAAGAATCCTTACACGCTCGCAGACTATGGAGCGCGAGGGAGGGACAACGACGATCCGTGGAGGCGCAGAGATGATGAGATTGATAGGGACCGTCGAGGCGACTGGTATCGCCCAACCGATGGATACTACGAAGGTGGTCGGTTCGAGCACTATCCGCGTAGCCCCAGGTACTATCGAAATCCGGATGGGTACCGGAGTCCTGCAAATTTTGTTTGGAGAGATGGAGGAGATTCACGCGGCCATTGGGAGCCAGATGGGGACTGCGGAGATGGATCCTGTTGTGGATATGATAGGACGGATAGAGGAGGAGACAAACGTGACGATTCCCGTGGGCGAAATGACCGAGGAGGGTATCCTGCGTCGCCAGGGTATCGGAAGTCGCCCACCTATCTGAAGTCTCCTGGAACGTCTAACCAGGATGGCAGGGGAGCTAGAGGACCGGCCCCTAGAGTGGGAGAAGAGAGACCACCCACACCAAGGAATACTTGCATCTACTGCAAGGCGGACGATCATGTCAAGAGGGATTGTCCTGACCTTAAGCGGGCTATAGACGACGGGCTTGTATTGCTTGACGACTATAAGTATATCAAATGGGTTGATGACAAGGCGACGTGTCAATGTTTCCTTCGCTGAAGGAAAACGTGGACGCGAGGCGAGTTCGTCCTAATAAAGGGAAAGAGGTGGCTAGGAGTCAGAGTGTCAGAATGGTGTTGTCTTCGGAGGATGACGAGTCAACCACACCTATCCGAGATGCGGCAACCAAGTCCGCATGGGCATTGTCATCAAAGAAGGCGGACACGGACTATGTGATGGCAGAGAAAGACGGTCAGAGGATCCATGGAGAGGAAGTGATACTTTCGCTATGCAAGCGCGGAGCTCGAAATTCACTATAAAGAGATCCTTCGGCAACATCGATACAATGGAGCCTCTTAGGCTCGCACTTAGGCAACCTATGCAGTGCTTAGTACTTGAATACTTGGCTGCTTCGAGAGTTGCGCGAGATGAGTTACAGATGATCACTAGGAAGACGCGCATTCCGCTTGGGGATGAGACACAGATAGCACCGAAATCGGACGCCCCAACTGTGGCTATATCGAGCGTAACTGCCAGAGCGGAGCGCGAGGCGACGATTTTTCTCGACAGTAAGGAAGGAGTACCTCCCGACAAGTTTTACATCCTTGGGAGCGAAACAGTTGACGCTATTCTCAATGATAAGTTAGTTCTCGATGGAATGATCGACAATGGTAGTGAGGCTATTATTATAGATGAGGATCTCGCCGTACGGCTGGGGCTCAACTTAGATAGGACCCATTGGTTCAAGATTGAGACTCTTGTCGGGAGGAAGTAGAAGGTCACCAGGGTCTTTCACAAGGCGGTCATAGAGTGGAAGGATTGCCCGTCCTGATGCCGGTATTTGCCGTTAAGGGCTGCAGCTCAGAGCTACTCTTAGGACGCACCTGGTTGAGCCACGTACACGTTGTTATGATAGAGCGGTCGGACGGGAGCCAGATGTTTTCGATTAAACAACCAGACGACGGTCGGATTATGATGGAGACGGTTGAGCCTCGTGACCCGATGAACAGAGCAGCCCTAGCTGCCGGCGACCTTAACACAGTTGCGCTCGAGAGTCGCTCGTTCCAATTCCGAGAAAAGAAGTACGGACAGTTGTTGACTGCGGAAGAGGGCCGCATGATCGAGGTTGACGACTTAGGTAATCGTATGATTGTGGATGAGAACTCCTATCGAAAGGAAAAGGATGAGGAATTTGGAGGGATGATCTCTGTATCTTTTTTAAGGGACTAGCCCCCTACGTGGGGCGGCCAAAGAAACACAAGACAGTAGCTCAAAAAGTTAAACCCGCAGCGAAAGCTCAGGAGGGATCAGCGCACAATGAAATATCAGAAGAGGAGATCACTAGAGAGATCAAAGAAAGAAAGAAGAAAGAGTCGCAATGGTTAACGGAAGAAAGAATAGCCCAAATGGACATAGGAGATGGGTTCGACGGAGTAGGAAAAGGGGCGTGTACTGGAGGTTCTCAAGACATGTGATAAGGCCATAGCCTTTAGTGATGCTGAGAGAGGCAAGATCGATCCTAGGTTTGCGTAGCCTGCTAGGATCTACACGATTTCGCATACTCCGTGGAACGATGCGGGGTTGACGTTTGCTCTGAAGGAGAAGAAATAAGTGATAGCCTTCGTAGAAGAGAAAATGGCATCTCATGTAGCGGAGCCATCCGACAGCGCATACACAAACCAATGGTTTTTCATACGGAAGCCAAAAGGGAAGATCCATTGGATTCAGGATCTCCAGAAGGTGAACGCTGTCACCATTCGGGATGTCAAGTCTATACCCCATCGGATTTACTTGTAGAGGGAGCTACGGCCAGGTCAATCTACTCAGTCTATAATTTATTTTCAGGATACGATGAAATACCGCTGGCCCCCAGAGATAGGCGCCTCACTATGATGCACACACCACTCGAACTAATCCAGATGATGGTTGTGCCTATGGGGTGGACCAACGGGGTCGCAGTGTTCCAAAGAGCTATGGTAGTCATGATGAAAGATTTTATTCCACATAAAGTCAAGGTCTTTCTGGATGACTTTTCAATCAAGGGGTCGGTGCTGAAAATTGAGACTGAGGTCGCACCTCGAGTCAAGAGATTCGTAGAGCAGCATTTGATAAACATTTACGCTGTTCTTGAGCACTTGGATGAGGCAAATCTGACGGTCAGTGTATCCTCTATCAAGATATTAGGCTTTATCTGTGATTCGAGAGGTCGACGAGCCGATCCGACCAAGCTGGATAAGCTCCTGAATTGGCCGACGTCGTTCAAGGTGCGACGGAGGTTCGCCAATTCCTAGGAGTTGTGGGGTACTGGCGGATCTTTATACGAGCATACGCAGAGAAAGCGGAACCGTTACGAATTCTCCTTAGGAAGACATAGAAATTTTACTTGGATTTCTCTCACGAACTCATGGTGCTGACACTTAAGGAAGAATGTCAAAGAGGCAGTTGAATCTTAGGGGTACCACTCTTCGATGACGAGACCAATAGGCCATTCATAGTGTCTACAGATGCTGGGTCGTGCTCAGTTGGAGGGCTACTTTCGCAGAAGGACGCTGACGGTAAGGAGAGGCCATTAAGATTTGAGAGTCGCATGCTTAACACCGCCGAGCGCAACTACAGCTAATTCAAGAAGGAGGTATTGGCGGTCTTGCGATGCTTGGATACGTTTAGACATTACATATACGGGAAACGATTCATTCTGCGGGTGGACCTTACAGCAGTAGCGTCAGTCCTACAGAAGGACTTCACCTTGACCGATTCTACAATTGCGCGATGGTTGATTAGCGTCAGTCCTACAGAGCGGCCAATAGCGGTGACAGCATTCACAATGACTGAGCCCAGACGCATGGATCAGTTTTTAGTGAACCTTTATGAAGGAAAGTACCATGTGATCGGATTACACCTAGCGGGAGAAGAGACTCTGGATACGGAGATCCGGAGACAGGCGGCCTAGTACTGCTTGAGATCCGGGCATCTTTTTCGCAGACTTGTTGGGTCAGGTATGCCCCTGAGGGTAGTTTGTGATCCAGAGGAACAACACGCAGTGATAGCCAAACTTCACAAACGGAGTCGTCGGCGGACATAGAGGGGTGAAAGGTACTTATGAGAAAGTTCGTAGGTTATACTTGTGGGAAGGACAATATAAGGATGTCGAGAACTACTCCGTGACCTGTGAAGACTGTCTGAAGAGGTCCCTTGTTAGATACAAGGAGTCACTTCATCCATCCAATCCTACTAGACCGGGCGAAAAAGTACACATCGACCAAGTGAAGATGCCGAAAGGCGTAGGGAACATGAATTATGTCATGACTTTACTGGATTTGTCGACCGTAAGCCCATTAGGACAAAGGCAGCCAAGCAGGTTAAGAACTTTGTTCTGGAATATCTATCCAGGTACGGGTGTGTTAGTAAGATCGTGATGGACATGGGAGCAGAATTCCTAGCGGATGAGGTACGAAGTGTCTTGAAGAAAGCAGTAACTATAGTGTCCATAGCCACTGCCTATCACCCTCAGTCCAATGCATCAGTAGAGCAGGGCCATCAGTCACTGATAGCATCATTGTCGAAGTGGTGTAGGGGGAAAGATAGCGACTGGCCGAAACACTTTCGATATGCGATATGGGCAGAGAATGTCACAGTCCGAGCGAGCACAGGATACCCACCGTACACTCTGTGGTTTGGGAGACACTGCCCTTTACCTATAAAGTTCCACATAGACAGCTAGACTACGGTTGATTGGGCAGAAAGATAGGAGCTTCTAGCGGCAAGGACCAGACAGATAGCATACGGACTTAGAAGACGAGCTTATGACTGTTGTTAATCGACTGGCGGTAGAGAGAGAGAAAGGCAAAGAGAAATGGGACAAAGATGTCAGGATCAGAAAGGAAAAGATTAAAGTCGGCGATATGGTGCTTGTATACAACGCAACGTTAGAAAGGACTTGGACGGGGAAGTCGGCTAACAGATGGATGGGTCCCTACCGTGTAGTCAAAGCATTGACTCGGGGAGCTTACATGATTGCTGAGTTAGATGGATCTAGGTGGAAGGACCCCGTGGCGGAAGCGAGACTGAAGTTGTTCAGGCCGAGGGAAACCTTTGGTCCTACCCTCAGACTATCAGACCTAAAAGGGAAAGGCAAAGCGAAGGTAACGGATGATAGATTATTCAGACGATACGAGGTAGGTGAGAGCTCGAAGAAGAGTAAGAAAGTGGAAACTAGGAAAGTCGAGGGCTTGGCATTAGGAAAGAAGAAGAGATGACTTTTCGTGTTACCGAGACCTAAGCTCCAAGTCCGTGTGAGACGAGAGGAGCGCCTACGGGGCTGCTACTCCGACGAGGGAAAAAGACGAGAAAAACGTCTGCGCCTAAGCCCTATAGGTCGCCACGTAAGAGGGGGAGGAAACACCCTCTCAGCCCCAGAATTCCTGAAAAACCAAGACACTAGACAGAAAAGCACCGGACTTGCCACGCACGAGTGTGGTGGCGCTGAATCTTATTCGTTTCGTCTGACTAAGACAGTGCGGGCTCGACGGGGGCGTCGAGAAGAGGTCTGGGTTTGTTTGTCGGGCGACCGAACCCTAGTCAGCCACCCGAAATTCGGCAAATTGGCCTCCCGATTACATGATTAGACGGGAATAGACGAGGACTTTCGCCTTACTCATCGGGAAAAATTAGGGGTAGGAAAAGGACCCCTAATTTTCTCCGCAATAAGTGTTAAGACTAACCTTGGAAAATGGTTAAACGGATGACTGCACCGGCCACATCTGGCGACCGTCGTTTTCATCCGTTCCGAGGCTAAACCCAGGATGGCCAGCGGCGGAATGGCATCGTGGAAACCGACCCCGTTGCAATGTTTTTGCATCACATGCATCATATGAACGGGGCCAAAATAGGGTCTCGAATTTTTGTCTATTTTAGTACCAAAATTAAAAATAAGAAAAATGATTAAAAACAGTAGGAGAGAATAGAAAAACGAAATATTCTTTGATTTCATTAATTTAAGCGGCATTAAATTTTGTAGGAGAGACCCTCATTATTTGACGTTTCCGGCAATGAAATCAAAAACAAAGAAAAGGAGTAAAAATGATAAAAGAGAAAAGAAACAATGGAATTTCAGCTATTTAATTGAATTCCCTCAGAATTTATTTTTGGTAAGACTACGTTAAATTATAATATTTCTGACAATAGAATCAAGAAAGAGGAAAAATAACTAATTATGATTAAAGGAAGGGGGACTAATGACTTGTAGAAGTTTGGTCTGATTTTGTTTGGATTATCCACCATCGACTCTAAACGCGGATTGATTGTTTTCTCTAAATTCTAACAATTTGCACTATTCCGCGATAATCGAGATTTCCCACGTCGCTTACTTGATTTACCTAATCCCTAGCTTTACCGCAGTCGTCAAGTTCCAAGAGTGGGGGCCGCATGGCCAGCGTGGGTTGGTACTACCTTGGTCCGGCAGTATGGCTTCGATATTTGGTTCGGTTCAGACACATGGTTCGGAGAGGTCGTATTGTTACGGATTTTCTATATTCTGCAGTACCCGACAGGCTCGGCATAGGCTCGGCGTCAGTTAATCTCAGGTTCAGCAGCTTCGGCACCACCGCAGCGGTCTGCTTCAGGTCCAAAACGACTATCGTAATTTATTTTCACGTTCGGGGCCGATACGACAGTCTACTTCAGGTTCGGAACGACTATTGTGATTTGCTTTCAGGTCCGAAACCACTATGGCAGTTTATTTTAGGTTCGGAACCTTCACGACCATTCATTTCAGGAACGGCGCCATCACGGGTATTTATTTCAGGCCCGGTACTGCTATGACATCGACGCATTTCAGGTTCGGTATGGATTCGGCACCGGCGTGGGACTCGCCACCGTATTATTTTTCGGTCCGGTATTGATTCGGCATCGGTGCAGCATCGATGTGGTATGCGCTACAGGTTCGGTATTGGTTCGACCTTGGTGTGGCACGCGCAATTGTGTTGCCTTCAGGCTCGGTATTGGACTGGCATCGGCATTGAACAGGTCACTCGAGTGAGAATATGGTTGTCTCAGGTTCGGTTGTGGATTGGCATTGGTACAACTCCGAAGGGTAGCCGCAGCTCCGAACGATTGCGTCAGGTTCGGCACTAGTATGGTGGCACAAGGCTGGCATGACTCCAGGTTCGACATTACTTGGACTTGTACGGTACAACTTTTTGGCTATAGCTGATGCGTTGGCTTGGGCCTTTTTAAGTCAGGTTCGGGGCGGCATTTCATGTTTTCTATATTGGTTTGTTGCGACAGCCGGGTTTGGAACAGGTGTGGTACAGGTATGGTGATGGTATGGGTCATAGTTTAAAGCTATAGGGTTGGCACGATCTGGTTCTTTATAACTTTGGTACACTTATACGCGACCACGGTTACGGAATTGATGCATTAATTATGGGTCAGGTACAGACCTGGGTACTGACTCCGTTTGGTAGCCCTGGTACCACTGGAACAGACGAGGCTAGTCTTGATTCCAGTCCAAGGTGGTGCGACAAGCAGGTGGATTCTATGATACATATCTCGCGACCTTCATGCACAGATATAGGCCCCGAGTGGAACTAAGGAGGGGATTTTTTTTTCAGTTAGCGAGCCAGGTGTACGCTGCAGTCGAGCCACGTTGACCCGCGGCATGACCACAGGGCACTAGGGCGTTTTGAAGGGAGATGCTGCGAAGGCGAGCTATGCATGCCTAGCTCGCGCAGTATACGATTTTGAAGACGGCGCAAGGGTGGCGTGTAAAACATGTTCACAACGTGTTTGCTATGATGCAAGGAGAGAAGTTATGGGGATCGTACTAAGGAGGAGCGTATCGCACACGCGTCGCTCGGACGCACTGAATGCCAACGAGCTGAGAGCGGGATAGCAGAGTGGCGTGAGCGGTTGGCGTGCGAGAAAGACAGAGGGAGAGCAACACGTGCCTGATGCACAGGCAGGAGGCGCGGTGAGGTTAAGGGAGTGTGAGCGAATGTGCGGGGGAGAGGAAGTGGACCAGGAGCCCCCCCCGGCAGTGAGAGAGAGGAACTTGATGGTCATGAACAGGGCAGTACTTCAAGGCTTCTAGTTTTGTTCACCCAGCTCTCTTTCCTTGCACGGCGTGAGTCGCAACGGATGTTGACTACTAGCGGGAAAAAGTTGATCAGATACAAGTCGACGCAACCACAGTGACAGGCCAGCTCCGAACCCTACGGGGGAAAGTCAGCCCGACTGGTGTGTAGCCGATCACAGTCTACCCAAGAGAACGATGCAGAAGCTATCGATCATCGATTTACTTTAGTACCCTTCATCATCAGTGCTAGAGAAAAGCTATGGCTGACGAAGAAGGTCTTCGCTTCGAGGAACCGTGCCGCCATGCAGAGAAGCGGTGAATCACGTTTTGCGCGTGCCAGGTAATTACTGTTTACCCTTCATCATAAGTGTTAGAGAATAGCTATGGTCTTACGAAGAAGGCCTTCACTTCAAGAGACTGTGCTGCCGTGCAGAGATACAGTGAATCACGTTCTGTATCGACCAACTCTAGTCATTTCTGTTGTTTTAGGTAGTTTTAAATTTTATCTTTTGCTCCGTGGGACGAGTCTCAACTTATGTGGAAGTCCGAGTCAGCGGAGCCGAGCAAGTAACCGAGCAACGTTCAAAGTTTGAGACAGTCATTCCTCGTCTCCCCTATCGAGAGTAGAAAAGAGAGAGAGGGGAAACGAAGGGGATCGTGGAAGACGGCGAAAGGGGAAGAAAGAAAGGGATAATAGACAGAGGGGAAGAAAAAAAGGGAGAATAGACTGAGGGGAAGAAAGAAACGGAGAATAAACTGAGGGAAAGAAAGAGAGGGGGAAGAGACAAAGCGAGGCAGTGAGCGAAATTGGGCGAGTGACCTCGTACACACGAAAAGGGCACAGAGGCTTTGACCCCCCCTTTCAAAATCTATGAGGCTCGGAAAGGAGAGAAGAGTTGCTCTGTCTGGTCTAGTCTGAAAAAAACACTAATTATCCCCCTGGGAAGAGGAGTTCGTCATTACGCCTATCTGCTCCTTGAGGGTCGGGGCTCGGGGTCTTCTGGTAGAGTGGTTGTCAGTGCTCTGTCTAATCCAAAGCTCGTACCTCAACACAGAGACATTATTCCAGTCTTTGTGAACTGTAAGTGCTCTGTCTAATCAAGCTCGTACCTCAAGAAAGAGGCATAATTGCAGTCTTTGTGAATGGTTGTCAGTGCTCTGTCTAATCCAAAGCTCGTACCTCAAGACAGAGGCATTATTCCAGTCTTTGTGAACTGTAAGTGCTCTGTCTAATCAAGCTCCTACCTCAAGTTAGGGGCATTAGTGCAGTCATTGTGAATGGTTGTCAGTGCTCCGTCTTATCAAGAACTTGTACCTCAAGCAAGCTACTTTACTTCAGCCTTTATGATTGGTAGACAAAACTCGATCGAATCAAGAGCTCGCCCCATGAGAAAGGGCAATAATGTGGTCTTTGTGATTGGATATTAGTGCGCGATCAAATCAGTGAGCTTGAACCGTACAACACGAAGGGGGGGGGACCGTCGGCTGTGTATTTGATTGCAACGGACCCTTGTCGGTGCATGAACTTGTCAATCAATTGATTAACGGTTGAGACTCGTTGCTGCATGAGACTGCCAATCTATGGAATAACTGCAAAAACCTGCTACTTCATGAACTTGTTGATTCGTCTGTTGACTGTGAAGACGTACTGCTTTGTGAACTTGCTGATTCGTCTGTCAACTGTGAAGACTTGCTGCTTTGTGATTTCGCCGAGTTACCAGTTAACTGTGAAACTTGTCGTTATGTGAAATTGACCACTGGTCTGTTGACAAAAAAAAAACTCGTTGCTTTGTGAATCTGCGGGATTACCAACTAACTGTGTAACTTGCTTGCATGCGAGTCCCTCTATTCACCTATTGACAACGAGACTCACCACGGAGGTAACTCCCAGGATTACAAAAGATAAAGAAAAAGGGAAAAAAGAAACAGGGTGCGTGACAGTATACTCAAGGCCCAATCCCTGCTGGTCGCCAAGGACCTCGAAAGCGGGCGCGGCAGGAGACAAACGCCGTAGCCCTTGGCTTCGGCGAACGGTAGGCGCCCCTCCCCGGGTTTCCTCACACCGTAACGCTTGGAAGTGGATCCACTCAGGAGTGGTCGGCCGAGCAGCTCTGTGGGAGCCACGACGGCTATGGGCTATCCTACACTGAACTCCTCCAGTACTAGGGGCTCGGCGGCGACGAAGGCGATAGCGGCGTGAGTCTCTCATTTGGCCTGTGTAGCGGGAGGTCGTCGGCCGTCTCTCTGAGGTTCTTTCTTAGGGAAAGCCATCGCAGCCGCCTGCTCCGCACACCTACCCGTCCTCACTGCGCTCCCATTCGCTCCGCCAGTGCAGCCCGCAGGATTAGCGCATCCCCCGTCGATGACTCCATACACATCTGCCTCAATGACCACTTCATCCCAAGTTCCACCCTGCGACGCACACCGTCCGGCCTGGCCTCTCACAGTAGATTATCTTCGAAGGGGATGCCCGCGTCCATATGTACGTTGTGCAGAATGCAGGCGACGACGAATTATTGCGGCAACGTATCCATGTTCGTCTTGTGGGAGCGAAGGAATAACCTCCGCATCCCCTTCAATCTTCCGAAAGCCCTCTCGATTGCTCCCCTCGTTGTCTTCTGCTTGTTGTCGAAGCGCAACTCCAACGGTTGCTGTGTGAGACCACCGTAGGGGACGACTACCCATTCGGAGGGGGGATAATCGTTGTCGCCTAGTAGATACCCGTTTGTCCGCACACCGAAAGGCAGCATGACAAGCGGTCCAATGAAAAGCTGCCCTGCCTCCGCGCGCACCCATAAACTCGACAGGTGGACGATCCTTACGTCATGGCAACTTCCTGGATATCCGACGAACACATCCAGCCAGCACTAACTCAGATTGACGATCACCTGCAGCTGGACGGAAAAACGACGTTTTCTGTCATAGTACTCCTCCCCGGGGCAATTCGTTGGCTTGTCGATGAAGATGTGGGTGCAGGCGATGCACCCATGGCAGTTAGGGAAACCCTTGTCAGCGAAAGCGCGCAAGACGACCGCCTTCTGCAATCCCGTTGGCCACGATATCTTGTCGGGGTACGCAGTCAGCAACACCGCAGTTACATCCCGTACAGCCACCAACCCTGAAGATCTGCCAATGCTGAAGCTGCATGTCCCGCTCTCGTACGTCTCCCCCGACGCCCATCTGTACAAAGCGTAGGCGACAATGTGGTCAGGCTGGAGGGGCTCCCTATAGAAAGTCACACGCCGTTCAAGGAAGGGAGACAGAGTTTCCGCTATCTCTCGGAACACACACAGCAACATGCGCAGCTTGTCCTTGAAGTAGTCCGCCGTCGCGTCGTCGCAATGCCGCAGATCCTCCCACGTCCCCCCTGTACGTCGCTTCATCCACCACCTGGGAGGCGCTCTGGGAAACCCTTCACACCCCATGGCGTAGCAGATCTGCAGTATGGCGTCGCAAATGGCAGCACTGCCATCTTCCTCCACATTTAAGGACGGCAGTGTCTTCTTCCTCCGTGTGTGAATGGCCGCTTTCATCCTCCCCTCAGTCCTCTGCACCTGACAGCGGATGAGGATGGCGTTGATGACTGCTACCACCACCGTCCGCCTTGTCTTGCTGAGTGTGTCGCGCCCCACCTCCCCGTTCATGTCCATCACCTACAACTTCAACTGTGGAGGTGGACGTCGCGAAATAAAGAAGACTCCACGTCTGCAGGGGCGCACAACATCGATCCCGGGGACTGCCGACAGGAGTGCACGGTGTACACGTCGACGACGAAGGTGCTCCTGCGAAGACGACAACGGTGACGAGCAATGGTGACGGCGTGTCTTCTGCTTGGGACGTATACACGTACGTTACGCGTTGCCGCCGTCACGCAGCCGCCACCACGCACCCGAACGCTTCCGCCGAGGAACGTTGCGTCCGTCAGCCGCAAGGGAAGCCCACGCCGCCATCCACCGCGTGCAGAAATTCGAATTTCAAAATTTGATTCCGGGACTGCGCTCCTTTTGTTCATCGCCAGTTTTTTTTTCCGCTGCCAATTTTCGAATTTGTGACGCCCGCCCGAGCTGGACCATGGAGGACGGCACAGACACAACTTGCTGGACCAACCCCCCCCCCCCCCCCCCCCCGCGTATCGAAATATGAAACTGGCCGTGGGAGCACCCGAGGAATCGTCCTCGAGGAACTTTTCTGAGGATGAGTGGTTTCCTCGGGCGACGAAGGGAAAATTTCTTCGACCCCCCGGGACGGACCGAGGAGTGTCGAACGAGCTTCTCTGCATATGATTCTGTACATGGGACGCTGGACCCGCTTTCCAGCAGGTGATGCTCCCCACCAATAGATGGAGCCTCCGCCTGGGTACTAGTGGTGAGTGCTCGTATCAGCAGCGCTAGCACTGACGAGGGTTGTGTTTTTTTTTTTTTTTTTTTTTTTTTTTTTTTTTCAGAGAAACTTTGTGCTTTCTCTCCTTAATTTGAGCCTGCCAGCCTGTAACATTTCTTCTGACTGAGGTAAGGACCCACTGCAGTGCGGATGGAAAAGACGTTTGGCCACAAAAACTGGGCAAGTCATTTTGGAAAGTCGGAAAGTACTTTTCCTGAAACCCCATAGCAGAGGACCAAATGCGATTGGAAAACCCTTTGGAAATCCGTTGAGCCAATCGCTGTCTGTTTCCGTTGGCACTCGTTTGTTTTGTTCTTTTTTCGGGTTTTTTTTCTTTTTTTTTTTTTTGCACTCTTCATCGCTATCGGCTGCTGCCTCCCGTGAGACTTTGCCAGGAACGACATGCCCTCCCCCCTGCCCTCATCAGTCTGCACAAAATTGCGGCGACAATGTCTCCCGACGGTTTTCCAGCTTGGAAACCATGTGAAAACAGGAAATCTCGGTTTTCCAGGCCACAAAATTCGGGTTGTGTGGTCCCGGAAAACCATTCTTGGAAAAAAAAAATGTCCTTCCAAGGACTCCGCGGAGGGCTGTGGGGTTTTCGAAAAACTCTGCGGCCAAGTTTTTTTTTTCGGGAAACGTGTGGGGTCCTTGCCTGAGTCACGAATACTTCATCCGTTTTTTTTTTTTTTTTTGAAAACAAACGCCCCCACTTGTGTTAGTGGTGCTGATAAGAGCAGACATCACTAGCACCTGGGGAGCGGCTCCATCTATTGGTGGGGAGCATCACCTGCTGGAAAAAGGGTCCACTGTCCCATATACAGACTCACCCGTCTTCACCCTAATACAACGCCCGGTCATTCTAGCTGTACTTGTTTTGGCAACTTCCCCTCTAGATACGGCGATAGTGACAGGGCGTTCTATTGGGGTGAAGACTCTAGCCTCTCCTACTCCCTTATCTTATCCCTTCTAAAGCATTGGGCCAAGAGAAATTCAAACGAACGAACTACTAGACTCATTAGAAACAGAGTGGCCCGGGTCCACTTGCCCGGCCGGGGCAAAGAGGGAAAAAAAAAAAAAGGAAATTTTTAATTGAAATTTGGAATAATTTGTCAAATACCCTCATAAGTGTAGATATATGCCAAAATGCCCCTGAAAGGTTTGGGTAGAGTGGAAATCTTTGTGTTGTGGAACTTGTGCCCCTGTCTGGCGCGTGTGCAAGTTTGCAATCTGGACCGCTCCGTTTGGGCCTTTGCCTTCTGCAATAGCACTGAGGAGAAGTTGGCAAGTACTGGGGCATTTTGCAAAGATGGACAGTACTCGGTAGGGGTATACTGCACAGATTGGGGTCCAACCGATGCCTCACAAAATATGTTTTTACTCAGAGGGTCAGTCCCCTCTACCCACATCTTTTAGGGGCATTTTAGCACATATCTCCACTCATGGGGCTATTTTGCAAATTATCCCTATCAATTTTATCTTAAATTTGGTAAAGAATTTTGACGTGACCCTGAGGAAATTTTGCAAAATGCCCCTGAATTTTCCGTTTATTTGCGATTTGCCCTCAGACGGCCGATTTTTCCTGATTTGCCCCTCTGACAACGTGGCAAGTTTCCAGAAATCCCCTGGCGTCACTTGGGCCTCAAATATGTTCAATATGCCACTACCGGTACCGCCGCCAAATTTCCAGTATGCCCCTACCTGTTGGCCGTTGAGGACCCGCACTAGAATTTGCCATATGCCCCTACCGGTACCATGCATCTTTTCATTATGCCCCCACCGCCGTTGTTGGCAGTCGGGGCCATTCCCCTGGCCCTGGGATGGGAGCTACTGGGGTATATCAGAAATTTGCCCATGATGTGGAGGCGGCGGCGGCGGCGGAGGAGGAGTTAGCGAGAGGGTAAAACGAAGAAGAGGCCGACGGAACGAAGAAGAGGCCGACGAAGATGAAGAAGGCAATGACATTGATGATGAGCTGGAATAGGAGGTGGGAGCAAGTGGATATGGCAGGCAGTTTGCACAAGCACAAGTCTCAACGAAGAAGAACAACAACAAGGAGGAGGGAAGAAGAGGAGGAAGAACAGCAGAGAAGCTTGGGGCAATGAGGTTGTCATCCTCAGCACCAGGCGGACGAGGACGAGGACGAGGTGCGCCCTCTGGTGTGTGTGTGTGTGTGTGCGTGTGCGAGAGAGAGAGAGAGAGAGAGAGAGAGAGAGAGAGAGAGAGAGAGAGAGAGAGAGAGAGAGAGAGAGAG